ATGCTTGGTAAGAAATGTACGCATTATCCAGCCCATGCAATTGTAACCCCTCTGTACAGTATGTTCACAAATAAAATAAAATTAAATTAAAAAAAAATTATTGGAGTCACAAGAGCACAAGCAATGGTACTATTTTTATTTATTTATGAATTTCTTCATTTAGTATTCTGTTTTGAATTCAGAGTCTCATGCTCTCACTTGCCTTTTTCACTCCAGCCTGGCATTCTTGAGCAACAACTCCACTTTTGGCTTTTGACTGGTTACATTCGAGGGCTGGTTTAGAATTGTGATTCTCAAATCTCTGCCTCCTAAGTAGCTGGGATTACAAGCAAAAGCCACCAGCAAGCACCTAGCTACATATCAATTATTTTTGTAAGAAATCCTTGTAGCTAATTAGCATGTTGACTCAAAAGCATCTACCTTACTATCAGCTGACAGCCAAATACAGATGGCAGACATGGATACTTACCAATTATTATTGGCTGCGGTTCACTTTTTACTCCAACCCCAGCACTTGTACTGGCTGCCACCTCTACCCGGTACTGAATTCCTGGGAATAATCCACCAATTATTACAGACCGAATGGCTGCATCCACAGTTTTGTTGATATGGAATCGTGTTTCATTTCCCAGACACCAGATCTACAAAAACATAGTAAAAACATAATAAATATGAAATTATCTTTTCTGATAATTATAATTGATTAAATATTTGTTATTAGTGGCCCATTCTGTTTTCTAGGCTTATCGTGCTGTTTGTACATGATATTTTATAGCCCAATCTCTTTGTGTATTGACATGTGTACATGTTAAAGGAAAAATAATAAGACAAGCTAAAACAATATCATGTTCATTTATATCTTACAATCATGATTATGTACTCATAATGAGTTGGAAGTGACAATGATTCTTGTAATAACATTTCTGAAAAGAAGTCCTTGGTTACAAATAGCATTTTGATATGGATTAAAACATATAATTTCCTCTTGCTAACATATCAATATTTATTCTTCCAAATGCTCTATTCTAAGTGTGGTGATTATAAGTAAAACTATTTGAGGTATACAGGAATATACCCAAATAATTTATATTTCACTTAAGAAAATATTAACTTACATATAAGTAGTTAACAAGATTCATTGTCCCAAGTTATCACTATTGACTAAAATGAAGTAAGCCAATATTTAAACTTGACACTAACAAATCTTAATATTATTCAAAGTATATCTTCACACATTCATGAGAACAAAGTAGTAGGAAGTCTTTATACAATGATTTTAATAAGCTGGGATTTTACTCTGAGTAGAAAGCAAAGTTGATGATATATTTCCTTTGGGGAGGTAGAAATCTGTTACAAATATAATCTTATACATGTTCCACTATATTGCTACATTTCTGTCATTTTACATTCATGTACAAAATTTGGAATACTTAATTTTTTTATGTCAAGGATATGTTCCTGAAACTTCTTTAGTAATTTCTATGAATTGTGTTTTTTTATTTACATACACCTTTTGTGTCCCTACTGAAAGCCTAGCCCATATATATGTGTATATATATATATATATATATATATATATATATATATATATATATATATCAGTATGGAATGAGATTTGTATAACATGAAAAACATTGTGATCATTATCAATATTTAACAAATTAATTGTTTAGGTTATTTAGTCATAGATGGTGCAAAACAAATTCCTAACCTTATTAACACAGACATAAATTGTCAATCATGTCTTCAGTGTTCCAATAACCTCCTAAAATTTATATAACTGTCTAAGCTATATAATTATGCCATTACTATAAAGACATTTATTCTTCTTAGGTACATGTGTTTACATTGTGATGAGAACAAATCTAAGCTAAAATCCTAGGTATTTAGTTTATCTATTTGCTTGAGTAAGTTTATCTTTAACTTAACAAAATCCTATTTAAATTTTTATTATGTTTTAGAAATAAAAATAAAATTTTGGGTAAAGTTATTCAGTTGAATTTCACATAGTAAGACTAGCAAAGCTACAAGCAAACAATACTAAAATAGGATTTTTTTTATTGTGAAAATACTGTACAGAGGGGTTACAATTACATGGGCAAGATAATGAGTACATTTTATTATTTCCCTCCTCCTTTGTTTCCCCCTCACATCCCTTCCCATAACATAGGATTTTTATCTTACTAGATAACTAACATAGGAAGATTATTAATATGAACATAAATTGTGAAGGTGCAGTAGAGTATCTAGATTTCTTCCTGTGAATCTAGAGCATATGTTATTTTTTCTGTTGTTAGTTTGCCATGAGATTTCAATATGTGGCTCAGATTGGCCTGAAACTCTTGATCCTCTTGCCTTTGCCTTCTCAGTGTGAAGAGAACAGGAATACACGAACACACTCAACTAGAAATATTTATAATAACAAAATGTTTTATTTTGGGATCTTCCCAAAGGTTAATTAGGTATTTTACACCCCACAATATCAAATAACAGTGCAATTAAGCAAAATCTGGTTTTAAAAAGTTAGAAATAGATGAAAGAAGAAGTACTATTTCAACACATTAACAAATCTGTTGAAATTGAGAGAACTACTACTTTTAAGTTTCTTTATTTCAATGGCTTCCTTTTATCAAGGCACATATTTTTACAAAACCACAGTAAAATAGATAAACACAGCATACAGTATAGGATTGGTGGTGTCAGTTCCTATTTCCTGTCCATCCCTGCCCATATATCAGAGTTACATGTCTGAGAATTCTAATAATAAAGATAATGTAGGTTCTGGGATGAGAGCTGTAACATCGCCTGAACCCCATCACTCAAAATTTTTGAAGCTCCTGAATCTACTACTGACAATTTCTTCTGTCTTGAAGTTTAGCTGTCCAGTTGAGTTGTATGTTTCTTCTTGAAATCTGATTCTAATTCCCTATGCATTTTTCCTGATCTGTCATACAAAGATATATAGTTCCTTTGTGCAGAAACTTGCTCATTTTTAAAAATCTATATTTTTATACTTACAAAGGGGTTACAGTTACATGAGCAAGGTAATGAGTACATTGGCTATCAAGCATTGTTACCCCCTCCTTTGTTTTTCCCCTTCCATTCCTTCCCTCTCCACATCCCCAACTTCTCCCTTGTGCCTCTCCCCCTACCCCCCACCCCGTTCCAGAAGCTGTAAAGTTTATTTTCCACATAGTGCCTTGTACATCTCATTGTTACAATGGGTCAACCTATATCCTTGTTTCAGCATTTTATTATTTCCCTTCTCCGCCCCAAATTAGAAAAATGTATATACAAGATGCAGGGCACTGGAATGAAATACAGTGAAAACAGGGGTTATACCATGGGGGAAGAACATACAAAACAAAAAAATGTCTTTCTTCATAGTAGAGCCTTACTTTTTTAGGACATGCCGTTTCCCTATAACACCGAGGTTTCTCTGGGACATTATGTCTGTGAGGCCTCCTTCTTCAGCCAAGCTTACCTTGTATTCTTGGATAATTCCATTCTGGTGGTCTGGAGGAGGAGGATCCCAGGAAACACTAATGCTTGTGCTATTTTGGCTTCCAACTGTCAGCACAGTGACAGATTGTGGAGGGGCACTTGGGGCTGCAGAAGAAGGAATTGGAATAAATGCAAACTGCTGGTCTTTGTGGTATACATTCGTGCTGCCTACAGATAACGAATATAATGCCAAGACATATGAGATTCCAGTTACCAATAGTTCAAAATCTGCATATAATGTCCAATAGGGACAACATTCTAGAAACAGCACTTTAAATTCATTGCATAACTTTAAAGCAAATGCAACAGGCCAGTTAATGTACTCTCAATACATTTAACAATTAAATTTGAATGAATGTGTTTTATAGCACTCAGCTTCATGTCATTTTTAATTCTTAAAACAAGCTCAAGGGATAGAAATCACTGTTATCTCATTTTACATACAAGGGAACAAGCTACTGTAAGAGACTCATCAAAGCCAAAAAGCAGGTCAGATTTGAAGCCAGATATGTTTAATTGTAGAATTTTATTATTCCAACTCTAACAGACTGTGTTTCTGGAAATCACACATGCACAAATATGCTTCCAATCAAACATATTCTTAGAGGACAAGCTCTACCATTGTATCAGACATTATTACCCAATGTTAGCATTATTGGCAGTTTTTTTTGTAATGTTTTGTTTTCTGTTTACTAAATAAAAATAGAAACATGACAACAAAGAAAACATGGTTTTCTTTTATCCTGGGGAAAATAATTGACCATTATAAACTGGTCCATATTTTGAAATTAAAATTTATTTTATAGGGATGGACAAGAGGTCCTGCTGATAAAAATAAAAATAGGTTCATGTTGGGTCAAATGTGAAATGGGAATATTTTGATTTCCCACAATAACTCTTCCTTTATAGTTTTTCCTATAACTAATTATCACCATGCTGAGGGGATATGAGTGAAAAATCATTCCTGATATTAAACTGCAGTCAGTACCATTCAGTGTACCTGAAAGCTAAGAAATATTCATTTTAAAGAAAAACTCTCTGTTCAAGGAACTTCTGAATTTAACAAAAATTGAAAAAGGTATTTTCTTGATTTTTTTCTTAAATCCAAGATATTCTCATCTTGGAAGGGCTTTATGTAAAATTATCAATTTTTTTCCCACAGCTCTACCCAGTTTAACCCTTCAATAATATTCTAAGTACCCCTCCCCAACAGATAAAAGTCTAGCTGATAATGGCTCCCATATTTGTTATGTCTGTGATGAATGTGTGACCACATTTACACTGAGATATAGGTTTCTGACCATCAAATGCCAAAACACTTTGCTCTTCACTAACAGTATGGTTCTAAACTATGGCACAATGACATAAATCTGACCTCTTGGCTACCTGCCCTGTAGTTATTAAGTAGACTTCCCTGTAAAATAACATTTTTGAAACTGGCTTTTCATTGCCCTGGCTGCTGGCTTTCTGAGAACACCGGGCCTGCTTCCTGACAGTTCAATTATTCCAGTGCTCAGCTTCTTCCTACAAATGTGAACAAACACAAATCACTGCTCAATGTTCGCAGACATAGTCCAGCTTATTTCCATTTGTTACCATCACCAGGCCACTGAACTTAGAGACAAATGTGAACTGAGCAGTGATAAATGTCTAATCTCAAGGAAAAGTTGAACTTCAGTGAAAGCTAGTCAAACCTAACACTCTATGTTAAGAATAGTACCACTCATTAGTAGTGCCAATTTGCACTATAATAGAGGGTAAAAATATTATTGTTAATTTTAGTGTTTTTTCCATTTTTTTCAGATATCTTAAAGTAGATTAATAGTGCATTTAAAAACCTGTATGTCTTTCCATGTATAAAGGGAGAATGTTGGAAGGGTGACACTGATCACGATGCATTATATTCATAAACTGACACTGAATTAAAACTCTTTCATCTAAATATTTAAAGATAATGAAAAAAATGTGCAAATATTTTTCTGGATATCATATTATTGGCAATGTATAAATGAAAATCTCTTAAGTCAAACAACTATCTACCTGTTAGTACAACCAATATACATTTTCTTAAAGCTCTTTTGTAGATCATTTTAAATGAAATATATTTAGACAGAAGCTCTTAATAGGAGGTGTGCACACAAAATTGGTACAAAAAGCAGCACTGGAGACTGGTTTCATTTGCCATCTCACTTTTCAACTTTGACGGCAACAGTTAGGTTAAGGCTGAGTAAAGTAAATGGACTGGGTCATTTAGTTTGTCTTTAGTTTCAAGTCTATCATAGATTGGCATTAAAATAGCGATAGCATATGTGAAAATATGCAAGTAGCCTTCTAATCAAATTATGGGTCAGACTGGGACTGCCTGTGTGTTTTGCTAGATTAGTCACCATGAAGTTCTTGTGGTCTTGGGTTTCCTACAGTCTGTCATTAATGAAACAAAAATAACCTGAATCCATGTAAAATGTGGGGAAAATAATCATACAATTCAAGTGCACTATCACGAAATATTTAATAAAAAATCCAATTTACACTCAGTTTTAGAGTTCCTAAATTCCTAGAATTTAGGAAGGAAATCAGTTCGTAGCTTGATGCATTCTTACTATTCTTTCAAGGAACAGGGAAATTAATTGATTTCACTGTCATGTTAAGTTTGATTTACGTTGGAAATCTGAATAATAAAGTTTGTGTGGTAGTATATGCATGTAATTGTGACTCTTGGGAGACAGAAAAGGAAGGTCATGCATTATAGGCCAACTTAGGTTGAATATAAAGTCTCTGGCTTATAAAATAAAAATTATAGAAGAGGAAGAAAGAAAGAAGGAATAGAGTGGGGAGAGAGGAAGGAACGAAGGAATGAAGGAAGGGAGGGAGAAGGGAGGAAGGTAAGGAGAAAGGGAAGGAGGGAGGAAGGCAAAGAGTGATCAAACTGACCTTCTTCAGTAGTTCGAACTGTTTTGGATTCACTATCCATTCCTTGGAACTCATTAAAATATGGTCGAACTTTAATTTCATAGGTCACACCCTTTTTGAGATTGACTAAAACAGCACTCCGTTCAGTAGGGACTTTGGCATCTAAATTCTGCCATGAAGTTGTAGCTTGCAGGCCTGAAGTCTGACGATACATCACTCGGTATCCTTGAATAAACTGAGGCTGACGATCCACCTGAAAATCAAACCAAAGTGATTAGAACCTGAAGATCAGCATGTCAGATATCATAATGGTTCAACTTTTCTTCTCCCATATCAGCCTCTCAGCATCGTCATCCAATTCAGTATAACTCTAAATGCTTGTAATAAGCTCTTCCAATTCTCAATTCACATTGTCCTTATGAGTATTTTTAAAATGAAGTGTGGACCAGCTCACTTTTGTATTTAAAATATTTTACAATATCTATACATATATTCAATTATCTCAGGTTGTATAGATTTGTACAAAGGGCTGTTAAGCCCAAGACAAGCTTTGTGTTTCCTCATTCAATTGATACTTCCTGCATTAAACAATTTATTTTTATGATTTTATACATCACACACCATTTGTCAGGGATTTCCACTCTCACCTCTTTCTATTCACTCACTGAAAATACTATTTTTTTTCATCCCTACTAGTTAGTGCTAGAAACTTGGCTGAATTCTATAACCAAAACCAGTTGAGGGTACCGTCAACGTCTTGCCCTCAGATGTTTAGCATGCTGGTAGAATAGAGTTATGATTACAAAATAAGAAAAAGCAAATTTTTTGAGTAAAGTATGGCAGGAAGTAAGAAGGCCTATAGTGTAGAGGAGGCTGGCTGGCTCCAGGAGAGGAGACTTTCCCTGAAGATGTCACAAGTTCTAGTCTATAATAAAAGAAGCATGTGACAGGGAGATAATAGAAGAGAATATATAAACTTGGCATGCCTGTACAAAGATAGGATAGGTTAAATTTATAGAGCTAAAATATCTGTTTTAAATGCATGAAAAACATTACTTCTAGGAACAATAGTAAGTAATATTTTATTATTTTACTAGCTTTTATCTACTTTAACAGCTTCACTGAACACATTATGACAACTTTCTTCTCTCTTTTAAAGTACAGCAGCTATTTTTCAATACCAATCTGATATTTTGAATTTGAAAATTCCTATCACAGAGAACTTTTAAAAGTATTTTTATTCACTTATGGTGTTTACATAAAAATCAAGCACATATAAATGCAAGACAAAAATGGACCATTTACTCTTTATATACTTATAGTACAAAATTAACAGGAAACCTACGACCTTTTCAACTTCAAGTGAAAATTCTTATAATTTTTGAAAAGAATTTTAAACAGTTCTTAATGGCTGATGCTAGTTGTATAAATGCCTGATTTAAACATAAACTTTGACAGCACCATCTCCAATTAGTCATCTATATTGCAGTTTAACAGCCAGATCTTAAGAAAATTTATACTTGACATATTTCACTGTTAAATCAAGTATAAGATTAGCAGGAAAGAAATAATTTCATTTCAGAAAGTGGCAGAAAAAGGGGAAGTTGAGAATGTGATAATGGAGATATTTATTGCCCACTTAGCCATCTCCATCTTCTGATGGATACACTTATTTCCAATTTTTCTTTATTCAGTTGTCAACATTCTTTTGGGTACAAACATCTAACAAAATATGTTTGTGGGTATTGACTTCTAACATTGCTTATTTAGTTGTGGAATGTTTTATTGTTAAGGATAGGAAGCAAAGAAGATAAACGATTAGTAGTTTAAAATATTGCCATTCAAAAGGCCAAAATGTAGAACTTGAATTAAAATAAAGTGGAACAAAGAATTTTGTTTCTATGTTTGGAATACCAAGCTGGTAAACTCCATAAAGTGGGTGTATAGGAGCCCCTGCATTCCTTTGTGTTGCTGTTTTCACCTTTCAAATGAGTCTGGACAAGTAAGAATTTCTTCACTCACCCAATAGCTTCCAAATCTCAAAAGATTTTCTGGAATTAGTACCTCATATGACATGACATCAAGAATAAGTGAGTCCAGGTCTAACATGAAGGTTTCTGTGCATAGGGCCACCATCTATTCTACCCTTCTGTACTTCCATACACTGACAATATTTATTTTGAAAACCAAAAGTTATTCCAACATTATAAAATAATGCTACCAAGAAGCAAACTATTAAATATATGAGGACCAGAGAGAGACACCTTTCATCAAAACTGTCAAAGTTCAAAAAAATCCTTGCAGTGCATATTAGAACAACAGTGATCTTACATTTTATAAACTTGTCCACATTTGGTTTAAGTGAATTTATCTGCTGAAAGAAAGACATAACTCACAATAATAGCTTGTTAATACTGAAAGAAGCAAGCTGTGTTTTTAAGGAGAACATTAAGCAGCTGTTTCCAGATGAAGAGAGTCTGTAAATCAGGGCAAATTGGTTTTATCCATGTTTGGTTTTCATTAATTAAGTGTTTTGGAGACTTTATGAAGCTAGTGTTTACTACACAACATTGCCTTGCTCACTTCAGCGGGCACTGCCATTAGCCTGAAATAGGACAATGGCCTGCTTAGTAATGTAGTGCTTGTATTTTGTGCAGTTGGTATAGTTTTGTAGGGGACAATCTACAGTTACAGGTAGAAACAAAAAATAAAAATGCTGACCATTCCCTTAAATAAATAGGTGGACTTTTACTGTGCATATACATTCAATACCACTCCCTATTGTAGGGCCTTGGGACAGATGATCTTTTTTCAAGTTGCATCATACACTTTTGGGTAGTTTTATTGATGTTCTGATCATAAAAAAAGATGTTTGTTCAGAGGAGATTTTAATCAGTCTACCACAAATTTGTGGGGTCCTATGAAATTAAAAAGATGGTAGTTTGTGAGCCTGAAAGAAAAATATAGCTATGATTGAATAGCTATGGAAAGTGCTTCAGATGTTCAGTATAAGACCTGAGTTTGAATGACAGCACAGTCTCTAACATTCTGAACAGCTCAAGAGTACACACACTGAGAAATGACTACTGAAGCCAACACACATAGAGCTCTAGAGCTGTTTGTTGAAGAAGGTACTTTATAAAGAAGGGGAGGCGGGTGGCATAGGTATAGCTAGCTTTTAGTGTTTTGATTGAATTCTTTGAGATTGTCAGTAATTATCTTTTCAATGTAAAGAACTACACAAAAACCAAAACCTCCATGGTAAGCAGAAAATTTGAAGTGAATTTGCTTTGCTCCTGAATGATTTGCTTTTAATACAGTTCTGAAAGTTGAGTTTGAAGAAAAATATTCTCCAGTGCCACTGGCATAATGCTTAAGCAGCAGAGGTCTGTGATTCTTTTTGTCTTTAATGATCTCTACTAGATAATAACTATTTTCTTATTAGCTTTGCTTGCATTCATTATTACAGTAATTAGGTTTAGGAAATGGAGCTTGTTAACTACTACTGCTTTAACATCAGCCTGTGATGAGGAGTGTGTTTCTCCTCCCTTGTCCATTTAGCAAGCTGAAATTATTACACAAAATAGTCACAATTTCTTTGGCAATAGATTTACCTTCAGTCTGACATTTTTCACTGGACTTACTTTCCTTAAAGAAGGTACAGTGATGTATCTCATTTATGACTCTAAACTGCCTGAACTAGCACCTGTGATATGGGTTGAAGGATTGAATTACTTATATTTTCAAACAAAATAAGTGTAAAACCAACTTAATGAACAGTTATTGAAGAAATATTTCATCACAGACACTCCACAGTAGAAACAGACATAAAAGTAATAGTCTGGACATCACTGTCTTTGAAGGTGATGGATTCACAAACTTGTAATAAGTAGCCGCATTCCTAGAGGAACTCCAAGTATACTGCCATATAATTCTGATCTAATTTTACAAACTCTTAAACTCAGTGTGTGCTAAAGTGACTAACTATATTGACAAACATGCTCCTTTACAAACTCTTAAACTCAGTGTGTGCTAAAGTGACTAACTATATTGACAATCATGCTACTTTAATTCTTACCCTCATTGAGAAGCAAGTTGAAAGAGGCTCTCTCAAACTACCAATATGTTTTCAATTGAGAATGAGGGAAAATATCCCCTGAAAAAATATGCTACTTTTTATTGGGTAGTTTTGTAGATAAAGATACTGAAAGAAACATGGGATATATGCTCCTGATTGTTACATGGAATAATGATAAGAGTAACATCTTCCCATCATGCGAACACAGCAACAGAAAATATTATATGATAAAGATCAAATAAGTTTATTCAAAACCTATCAAAATGGAAGTAGCAATATTATAATCTTAAATAATTATAATTCATTTTGTGTGCTCATTCTGTGCTATCCCTGAGGTTTTTTTTCAAGGATGGTGCTATACTCCTTGAGCCATGGGTCCACTTTTGGCTTTTTGGTGGTTAATTGGGTATAAAAGGCTCATGGATTTGAACCCTACATGGGCTGGCTTTGAACCATAATCCTTGGATCACATCCTATTGAGTAGCTAGGATTACAGGTGTGACTCACCACCATCTGGCTTTTAAAAAAACTTTTAGTCATAGTTTAAAGGATTATCCAATGTTGTACTTATAAGCCAGAAAATAGACTGAAAAATGACAGAAAATAACTCCTGTTTTCACTGTATTTGATGTTGGTATAATTTGGGGAGGAGAAGGGAAAAAACAAATTGTTTAAATAGGGGTATATATGGACCCATTGCAATGAGATGTACAAGACGTTATGTTGAAAAACAAACTTTTCAACTTTGGGGGAGGGCAGGGGGGTGATGGGAGGGCAGTGATGGTAAAGGGAAACAAAGGAGGAGGCAAAAATGCTTGATAAGAAATGTACTCCTTACCTTGCTCATGTAATTGTAACCCCTCTGTACGGTTTTTTCACAATAAAAAACTTAATAATAATAATAATAGTAATAAAGGCTAAAAGCCTGCTATATCACTAATATTGCCAAAAAAAAAGAGTGTCAAAGACTTTCCTGCCAGGAATGGCTTTCACCTTTATCCTCAGATCTTATCCTCGTGAGTACCAGAGTCACTAATTCCTGGCTTATATGTGATGTGTTTTACATATGTTTCAGCTAATAGAATATAAAGATGGTTGCTTTAAATTCAGAAAAATACTCAGATATAAACTTTTTTGTGCTTCTAATAACACCATCAAGAAACCAAAAGCAAAACACAGACTGGAAACATTTGCAAATCATAAATCTGACAAACGACATATTCTGAATACATAATTACTCCTTTAAAGTCTGTAATAAAGAGACAAATAACTTGAAAATGGACTAAGAATTTGAATGTGTTTTTCTGAATGAAAAATACAAATGGCCACAAATACATGAAAAGATGGACTATATTATTATTCATTAATCAAATATGTCAGACCTACAATGAAATTGAAATCATAGTGAACATCTACTAAAATGCCTTTAACCAGAGCAAAACAGAGTAAGTGTTCAAGAAGATGGAAAGAACTCAGAAGGACTTGGAAGAAGGTGAAACACCAAAACAAACAGCGCTGACTAGAATACAAACAGTATCATCACACAGATAAATATTCTAGCAGTTCAGCCATGTTTGTGAAGCATGGATTTACTATATTACTCAACAATCCATAGGTATATGGCAAGACAAATGAATCTTACATATTCACACAAAAATGAGAAAAAATGTTTATTGCAACTTAATAGCCAAAATTTGAACCAATCCAAGGACTATCAATTGCAGAAGGGGTAAAGAAAATGTGATATAGCTGAAGAACAGAATGTTATTGGAGAAGGGCATGAACAGAATGAAATAATTATGTACTATAAAGAACAAAGACAGGTACTACAACATGGATGACCCTCAAAAACATTACATTGGGTAAAAAGAAGCCAGGAACAAAAAAATGATATAGTATATGAATTTATATATATGAAACATTAAGTCAATCTATAGAGATCGAAAATATATTAGTGGTTCCATAGAACTAAGATAGAGGAGAAAGATGAATGACTGTTAATTACTTATTTGGCCTTGTTTATTTGCATTTTTTGTTTTGTTTTCCTTCAAAAAATCTAATATAGGCTTTGTTACGACATGCGAAGCTGTATATAAAGCTTAATTCAATGTTTGGAAACTTACAGTCCACGTGACTTGGACATTCGTGGGGGTAAGGACAACGGGAGTGTGAAGACGAACAATGACATCTCCCAGTTCCTTCTGTACTTGTCTGTGATCCACTCCTTGCGCCGGTGGGCTGATATCTGCAGTAAGAGAAGACAACCACTCCCCGTTTTAAAAACACATGCTACAATTGAAGTTCATTTCTATAAAAGCCAACATAATATGTTTAGAGCTCACTACAGAGGAAAAATTAAAACTTTTCTTACAAGAAGTTTTTTTTTTTTTTTACAAGAAGTTTTGAGTTAAGGATAGGGATGAATGAATGTTCTAAAGGGGTGACTGATTATTAAGCACTAGGCACATAAATGGAAATTGTACATTGTAATTCCTGGATACAACCATTTAAAAAATAATAAAAAAACAAATGAAAGGTTTTACACATTTCATATATATTTACACATATATGTATATGTGTGTATATACATATATTTGTATGTAAATATAAATAATCATAGTTTGAGAGACAGTATTTGTCTTTATTAAAATACACTAAAAAACCTGTTTACAATCCCTCATTTCCTTTCAAGTATAGAGATACATTGTCATGGAAGATCATTAGATTTTCTATTTAGAAAGACTAAGCTATCTGCGCCAATGATAAATGATAGGCATTTAAATCCACCAAACTAGTATGTATATATGGTGACACATTAACGATCTCAACTTGTCAGGCACATCTGAAAGTTTGTTTGAATCCCATATCATATCAACTGGTTGTGTTTTCCTATACTCTGACCTCTTTCAGAGCAAGAAGAAAATTGAGAAACTGAGGAGGTGATTTATGTCATCAAAGACAAACAGGATAGGAACAGAAAATTACAAAACTGGAAAACTTAGACTACTGATAAAATGCTCCAAAGTAATAGATTTGGAAGAAGCTTCCAATATCTGAAAAAGATGTTCTATAGCTGCATTGGAGAAGGAAGGAGATATATTCTTTGTGAAGCAAAAAAAAAAAAAACAAAAAAAGATGAATTGTAGGCGTTTAAGTCCATTATTTAATGGCATTTCATACATCATCAAACTGACTGTTTTTTAAGCTGGTATGTTTCAAGGTTACAGTGATTATTTTCTGCAAACCACTTAATTTAAGGAATGAAGTTTAACTTAACATGATTTACTTTCTTAATCTGTCCTCTTATTTTTCTCTTGTCAAAATGCAACATTCTTGCAAAAGAATTTTTAAGTTCCTATGGTAATTCACTATGGTACACTAACTTTAATTAGAACATAAAAATTGGGAGCATACTTTAGAGGTATATTTTTCATTTCAAGGCTGATATAAACAGCAAAGTAAATTATTGGTTGATTGAGAAAAAATTGTTCCATTTTATGAAAGATATTCATCTTTGTTGATAGGTATATAATCTACTATGATGTTGATGTATAGCTATTTGCTATTCTTAATGAAATAAATAATTTCTAGATTCTATGGTATTCACTACCTTTGAAAATAAGAGCTAATAAAACAAAGTGCACTTTGGAAATGAAAATGATGTTGACGTTTAGACTGAATGCATGAGCCTTTCCTATTAGGTATCTGTAAGAGAACATGTCTTTTGCTTTGTATAGTCTCTCAAGTGGAACGAGCCAGTTCACAAGCAGTTTTTCATTAATCTCTTTTTGACCTTTTCACTGGGAGTTATTTTATGAGTTGAGATTTAGTGACTGTAGTTATTGAATGATCAGGGCAAGCTGTCTTACCATCTCTACCTTATCTTACAGCCATGTACAAAAACTAACACAACCACATAAGTAAAAGTAATCTAGGCACTATAATTTCTTGATTTCAAATTGTATACCTCTTCTATGTCACATTCAAAAATTTAATTTATTCACTAAATTCAGAGACACTAAAAGCAATTGGATCTAAAATATAAGGCTTTCCAAGTCTTTGTTGTGTTTTTTGTTTGTTTGTTTTGTTGTGTTTTCCTCTCTCTGGAGACAGGATCTTCACTTACAGGTCTTTTATCATCATGGAAAATTAATCACATTACTTCTTCAAGAACAATAACCATGTGGAATTGCTTTGTCTCTAGACTGTCATCATGTTAACATTACAGTCATGTGGTGATTTTATTTCATTTGTTTCCTTAAAGCTTCCATTCTCTATTAAAATGGCAATGGTAGTTACTACCACTGAACTGCACTGTAATTATAATAAGATTTTTATGGTTATACAGTGCTTTTCTAACACAGAATACTACTCTGAATTATATCTTGTTTAACATCTTAGCAAAGAAACAATCCTTTCTCAAGAACTCTGCAGCAATTAAGTTGTATGAACAACAGGCTCCATTTTCTATTGAATTGATTCCCCTCACCTAGTACTAGGAAGATAAACTATACTGAAACAGCCTACTTTAAATCTCAGCCCTCAGTAACTTCTCAGTAAGAGGAGACAGGTTATTAAAAATGGGATGGGGAAGTTTTCCATTCTGAAGTTAACTATATTTTAATGTTATGGGGAATTTTATCTTAGTCAAAAGCATTCACTGAGTCAGGAAGAACTGAATTTACTGTTTCCTGAAAGAGGTTACTCCTTCAAACAGCTGATTAAATAAAAGCTAGTACTGGTAATTCTTAAACTTGACCACCTGGAGGGCATACAAGCATATACACAGGGCTCTGGCTGAGGATCTATTCACCTGGACCCTGGACATCTGAGTTCTTGTTTTCAGGGACATAGACATTCATTTCACTTTGAGCTGCACTGCACAATAAAAGTAGGCTTTGTGAAGGCCATACTTTTGTCTATCCATTACAGAACTGCTTTTTGCTTTTGTATAACCCACACAAAGAAGAATAAACATTTTAACACCATTGTAAACACAACGAAGTTCTAACTTAGTTAATTTGTTTTTAGTAGTCAGGTGCTTCCAAATATTGTGCCTTCTTTTAATTGCATAAACCAAGCAACATCCAGCAGGAGGACACAGCTTAACAAGATGAACAGCAAAAATTCTTCCCCATCACTGAATAAAGTCCTGTGAATCAGCACAGAAAAATCAAGGTACATTGCTTTCGAAACATCTCTTCTAAAATGAATGTCTGGTGCTCTAGGACCAGTTAGGTTTAGAGATAGTGATATTACCTTGCGTCCGCACAGGATCTGACATTGGGCTTGGGTCACTCAGACCTTGGGAGTTGATTGCTCTGACCATGAACAAATAGATGGTATTGGGCCGTAGTCCTCTCACAGTATATAAGGTAGTCTTTACATGATTGGCCACTGTCTGCCAGCTGTTGCTCACTGATTGGCTGAAACATGAAAAGAGAGTTCATTTAGCGTCCCATCATGAAACTGTTGGAAATGGAATTGGGTATCAATGACAAAAGATAATGGCTGAAAAATAAACACAGACACACACACACAGCACTTGAAGTGTTCAGCCCAATAAATGAAACGTTTGAATGATTTCAGTTGATTCAACAACAAAGCCGAGCCCACCTAACGGAAGTGCCATGCACAACAAAATTAAACTCAGCACAGGAGATGTGACAGCCCTTTGCTAAATGCACAGCAGCCACTAAATGAATACCTGTAAAAGGAACAGAGGCCAAGATCACAACATCAAATTTATACAATAAATATGGTCCTCATAAATGCATACATATATATATATATACCTTGAAAAGAATTAACCTGCAGAAAGAATAAATGGGCTACAGAGAAAATTATGCCAATACATTTTCCTGTTACAAGGTGTGTTTTCTTTTGTATCAACTCCACATGCAATATTATAACAGAGCCTTCTAAAACTACATATCTGTAAAAGAAGAAAGGAAGCATGTAATGAATAATTTCCCTTGCTTACAGTTTTAATAAAATTTACATTGCACAGTACTGTGATTTCTCATCTCAAAATGGCAAAATGCTGCTGAATTCACATGTGGGGATCCCTGTACAGCCAGTTACAGATGAATGACATTTTATAAGACTTGATCTAAGGGCAAATACTATTTTTGTTGAGAATGCGGAGAAAAATGTGGATTTTTAAGGCTGTCAACTTGAAGGGACATCCTGAAGCATGGAAACATAAAAATACTTTAACATACTATAATATGCAAATGCCACAGCTGGAAAACTATGTTTCTATCATTACCACAAATACAGATTAGAATGATATAAAATCAAACTGCTCATTTTATTATTATGCACAAAAGACAGTGGTTGTACTTCAGACTTGATATCAGTCAGGTAGAAGCACAATGAAACTTTGTGTGAAAATATTAAAAATATTTTACAATTTTTCTATATTTAAATCAAATAAAACAACTGTAACATCTAAATCTTTAAATTGATGACAACTGTGGAAATAAATTTTCCTTTCATCTGCTAGCCTATATGAAATTGGTTTCTAAACTGTGTTTTTCAGTTTTATTGCAGAAATAAAAATAAATAACTGTATTCATGCATATAGTATAAAATAGTGTAATCATTTAAAGTTCTGATCTAATTATTAAGATATATATATATATATTCCAAAGTCTCATGCTTCAATAAACATTGAATAGTTTAAAAAAATATCTGTGCAGTATTTAAAAAAAATCTGTGCTTAGTTACTGTATTTTCTGTCTAGTTTTCTAAAGCCCACATTCTTAGTTAAATACACACAATTGCTAAAAAGGCACAGAAATAAACTACTATGTCATGGACTGGATTCTATACACCTGGCATCCATAATGCATAATCTTATAATTAAGTTACAAATGAAAAAGTAAAAACTGCTCCTGAATGAGGTTAGCTACAAAGAATAAATTCTTTAAGATGTATAGGTAAAACTTGACCTTAACATAAGCAGGCAAGCTTAGGTGACATTTTAGGAAGTAGAACTAAAGCAAAAATCCCAGAATAGAAAATAAGCAATTTTCTCATACCTGAAAGCCTCAATGATATATGCACTTGCAGGAAGAGCTCCGGGGGTACCTGCTTGCCACGACAAGGTGACACTGTTCTTTGTCACATCCGTGACTTGTGGTTTAGATGGTGGACCTGGCAGGTCACTTAAATCATAACTTTTACTGATTGTTGCTCCAGATTCTATAGAGGATAGACAGAAAAGACTTAATTCCTAATTGCATAAGCCAACAGTGATGTTTCAAAGAAGAAAGACCAAATATATAAAGTTCCACAAAAGCAACAACTAGTACAGCAATGCAAAACTGCCAGTGAGCTGATCTTTCTAGTTTGCGATTGTAATACCAATTCCTTGGGGAGGAGAAACAAGAAGATCATGGTTTGAGGCCAGCATAAGCATGTGACAGTGACACATTAAGTCAAAAACAAGTACATATCTCAAAAGCAAGTTAATTTTGGTGTCACACATGTTATGTTCCTAACTACTCAAATGGCAGGGATAAAAGAATTTGAGGTTTGAGACCAGCCCAGGCAAAAATAACCCAGGAACCTATCAGCAAACTAACTAGGGTTGCGACCAATAGTAAGACCACTTGCATATCAAGCCCAGAACCCTCAGCTCAATCCTCAGATCCACAAAAGTAATTACATACATACATACATAGATGCATACATACATATATATAAATATGTATATATATGTATATAAATATATATATAAATGTATATAAATATGTATATATTTATATATATAAATATGTGTATATATTTATATAAATATATATATATATATATATACATACAGTGGCTTTGAATGTGAAGACTAAGATTAAAGTTCAATAACTAAACTTTGATCTCGCCTTAAGTTGTTATTTAGTAATAAGTTATGTGTTTAGTATTTTGGCTGAAAAGAAAGGTAAGTAAAAAAATAAATCTCACCTGTCACATCCAACACTGCACTCCAGGAGGTTTCTCCACTTGAACTTGTAGCCACACAAGTGTAAGTGCCAGTATCAGAAATCTGACATGAAAAGGAGAGAATTTGACATTCACCACTAATTGTACATTGATTGATTACTCAATATTTACCAAATGATTTAATCTCTTTTAAAATGAGCTGCATCATTTGTCCATATCATATGTTAGTCAGTCATATGTATGTGCACAAAAATATTAAATTAAATTCAGATTTTTGTTATAATGCTCAGATTTAAAAATTATGTTTTTTCTTTTTCTTTTGTGTGTTGGTACTAGGGCTTGATCTCAGGGCCTCATGCATTTGCTTAACTCTTTTCTTACCACCTGACCCACATCTCAACTTCTGGCTTTTAGATGGTTAATTGGAGGTAATAGTCTCATGGGCTTTTCTGCTCAAGCTGGCTTTGAACCTTGATCCTCAGATCTCAGCCTCCTTAGAAACTAGGATTATAGGAATGTGGGACTAGTACTCAGCTTTAAAAAAAAAAACAACTAAATGTTGTTTTTAGAAATAAATTATATGTATCTTTTTCATTCTTGTTCTGTGATAACACTCAAGTATTAACAATTATAGGGCAAGGCTTAAATGTGTCAGAGTCAGATATAGACAGAAAAGGAATTATTCAGATTCCTATATGATTGAAGAACATCAGAAATGCAAAGCAATCATCTCAAATAAACTGAATTTCAATAGACAAAAATGTACCCAGGACTAAATAAGGAAATAATAAAAGGGTGCATTTTTTCAGACATGGAGAAAAATGCAGAATAGTTAATGCTATGAAATGAAAAAGTATATGTAGAACAGCAGTAAAAAGTAAATTATCATTAAAAAACAAACAAATGGCTATATGCCAATTGACCATGCTTGTAATTTTAGCTATTCAGGAGGCTGAGAACTGAAGGATCATGAATCAAACACAACCAAAACAAAATTATTTGAGACTCTATCTTCTATGGACTAGCAAAAAGTTTGGCTGGAGGTTTAACCCAACTGTTAGGTCACCAGTTATACATAAGTAAGCTGAATGACCCAAAGCCTTGACTTCAAGCCCTGACAAGTCAAAAAATCCCAATCACTTGTCAGCTTTGAACATACTTTTTGTTTCTATCTTTACCTATTTTCACTCTTCTTATCATTGCAATCATACCATGCAATCCTTCCTTTTCTATCAAAGAAACAAACAAAACAAACATGACTATGAAGTTAATTTAAACTAGATCTGAAAGGGACATAAAGGAAACCTAATATATAATTCTTTTTAAAGCACATTTAAAAATGTAATTTCAATCTGGGTGGCAGAGACTCATGCCTGTAATCCTAGTTACTAAGAGGTTGACATCTGAGTATGGTTTGAAGCCAGTTCAGTCAGAAAAGTCCCTAATACTCCTGTCTTTAATTAAACAGGAGAAAGTTGGAAGTGAAGCTATGGCTCACATGTTAGAGCAGCAGCCTTGAGCAAAACACTCAGGGATAGTGATAAAGATGGGTCTGGTTGTTAGTGAATTCTGGGAGTTTGTGGAATATTGTATCAGGTTTAAAATGAATGCATCCTGAAGAGTGAAGCTTTCAAAACTGCTTCTTGGATCAATAATTAGTACATGGTTATGACTGTCATCCCACCATTTTAATTAATTTTAAATGTCATTATGTATATTAACTTAAGTTTCAACTGCTCTGGTGTGTCCTTTTGCTAGGTTAAGATTGTCTTCCGTCATACAGAGGGATAATGGGAATCTCCATGGTGGAATGTCCTCTTTTCAAATGTGGCTGTGAGCACATGAGAGTCATTAGATATCTTTGCATTATAGAAGCCTCACTCACAACCTAAATATAATGAGCAGAGGTTGGTGTTTGATGGGATGTTCATTTGAATACGGACTGTGAAAGAGTAAAAAAAAATTAAATTTTATTATCGCTGTTGAACTAAAATGTAGCACTTGTTATTCCATACCAGTGCTAAAAGAGGAGTGTGTAGGTAATACTTCTTAACTGCATCTCCTTGTCACTGTGAGAAGAACCAGCCTGACATTAGCTGTGGTAGGTAGGTTTTAATGAGTGCTGGAATATTTTACTTCTCAAAAGATACAGATTTGGTTACCAATTAGCTGGACTATGAGAACACAATATTCATCATGCATTTTTTCTCTTGCATTAAATACTGAAAGAAAATATGAGATAAAAAGGCACATGACCTACCACAAACCTCTTGCAACAAGACTATAAATCCATTTTAAAGTCACTTATCTTGAAGCAAAAGAACACTCTGCTAACATTGGGAACTGACAAATGTAATTCCAAATAACTAGATAGCATTGCTGAATCTCACTGTCCTGTCACCACCATCATCATCACCATGTTCTTCTTCATTACTTTAAATAATGTCTCTTCTGGTCAGAAAAACAGATCAGGGTGCTTGGACACACTGTCCCCTCCTTCTCTCTTTGTGTACTTGACTGCAGAGCAGTTCTCAGATATAGGCATCTCAGAGAGGCTTCTCTGAAGCCTATCACAAAGCTCAACATTTGAGATGATCAGGAATCCACCTTTAATTATTGTTGCAAACACTGCAAGGGATCTCAATTACATAAGCATACCCTTTGACTGAGCAGTAGAATGAAAATGCACTAACCTCCATGGCCCAAAGTCAGTCATGGCTTAGAGAGAGAAAAGCTAAAGTGTTTGTACAAAGATAGTTAGCATAACTTTTTCTATAACTTCCACTTTTCTCAGAAAAACTTAGCCATTAATTTGCAATCAATAATAACACGGTCCATATTAATTTATTTTCTTAACTGAACTTGGTGGCAGTTTCCACTCAGAGTAATAATTGTTAATTATTTTTAAAATATAGATATTACTTAAATATATTTTTTCACAAAGAATCATCCTTCTCCATGGAGTACATATTTGTATGATAAGTCGATAAATAACTAGAAATATATTTAAATATATATTCTGGAAAAGGGGAATACTCCATGTTAGAAGATATGTATATCAACATATTTTTATCTTCTTCTCAGGCTTCTGAGTGAAATGCAGAAACATTGATTTGAATAAATCTTAGTTTCCAATGTCCACCTCACGGTCAGAATCTACTAACTGACTTACTGAAGTGTTTTTGAGCAGTTTTTCCTCATATATTATTGCATCAGCTATCTCAGTTCTGACACTGATCATCAATCTTGTGAATACTATATTTACTCTGTCCTTTAGTGTGGTGTTTGCTGCATAATATAGGTGGGGGTAGATTGAATATACCTGGATGCATAAGTAAAAGATATGGATAGAGAATAGGCAATTTACTTCCATATACAGCATCTATCTGGCTTTTACACCATGTGTAATCCTACACCTACTTAATAAAGTATAGATGGCAACTTTTGACTTGCTTCTTTCTGGGCCAATAGATTATCCAAGATTTTTTTTTTTTTGGGTCCAGTCATGGGGCCTGAACTCTGGGCCTGGGCGCTGTCCCTCAGCTCTTTAGCTCAAGGATAGGGCTCTAACACTTGAGTCACAGCACCACTTCCGGCTTTTTTCTTTTTGCTTATGTGGTGCTGAGGAATCGAACCCAGGGCCTCATGCATGCAAGGCAAGCACTCTACCACTGAGCTATCTTCCCAGCCCCATTATCCAAGATTTCTAGATATTTTATGAACTTTGAGGAAGTAAGCAGACCTATCAGAAGATCCACATTGTAAGGGACTAAAAACAGCCATTAGCTAAGAGCAGGTAGGAAGCTGAGGTGGTAAAAGTCTATGCTAACAATAATCATGTTGCTTCTAAGAAATTCAATTTTCCGTCACTATGCAGATGAAAACACAGCCCACATTCATATGTGCTCACAGCTTCCCCATGAGTCTCTAAAGACCTCAGTGATTCATGATCAAGCTTTTAACTTTCAGAAACTGCTGTAGAGTACCATGCATTGCTTTATGAACCTCCTTAACTTTGTTTGTACTGCTGGATCATAACAGAAACTAATACACTAGTCAGAAGCAGGCATTTTATTTTGGGGTAACACTGAGGCACATACAACTTATTTGAATTTCCCGGAATTATTCCTTATCAAATAAGTGTGAGTTAAAAGCTCATCAATGACTTATTTTCAGATAAGAGATGAAATAGAAAATCCATAGAAATGATCCTAAGATCTGAAATTTTCCTAGAACAAGCCAACCTTCTTTCTGTGAACTCAGTCTCACCCCTTTACAATTTCAATAAAATTCTTTGGCAAACAAATATATCGATATAGTTCTACAATTTTTTTTATCAGTGATAGTAAAGTCAGAATCAATTGTCACTTTCAAATAATTTTTAATATCCATTATTTTTATTACTTTTATGTGCTTCATATTTCTAGTTTCATTGATTTGTATACACGCAAGACAAGAGACAGAAGATTTGAAAAATTTTAAGTCTGTTAGGAGTTTCTGAGTAACATAAGGACAATGCCTTTTTTTTCTAATTTCAATTAATCACTTTTATAGTAAGAATATGAAATGTGTAGAAATTATGCTGAGATGTAATATTTTAAGTTCACCACACAGCTTTCCCTTATAGTAGTACTTATGTTAAGACAAAAGCCACGTATTACCTACCCGTAAATTCTTAATCTGCAGCGTTCCTTGCTCTTGGATGGATGCTCTTGGATCTCTACCCAGAAAAGTAAATCCTTCCTTTAACCAACTAATTACAGGAAGAGGATCACCAGTGGCTTTACATTTCAGTAAGGCTGTACCATCGACTCCTAGAGACTGGTTTACTGGGCCTTGAAGGATTATAGGTGGAGGTCTATCTGTCAGAACTAAAACATACACATATATTCAGGATACTTTAACTTCTATGTATAAAGTGGTATTGCAATATTGACAATAAAAGTAATATTCAATCTCCATAGCTATGTAGTATTATTTGTACCTTCCTTTGCATAATCAACAAAAATTATATATTGCCTAGCTATACATACACACATGTGTGTATTATAAATAGTATAGTACACACATTTAATATAAATATATACATATACTCAACTAAGACCATATTATTATTGTTTATAACTTACTTTGAATGAACTGTAATTGACACAATACTGGAATAAATTCTGATATTTTAGAAGAGCATTCTTTATCAGTATGCTTAATTATATTGAAATTAAAATGAAAATAGGAGTAGCCTAAAGCAGTCTTTTGTAAATGTTCATTTCATTACTCACATGCAGGTTTAAGAAAGCCCATGAAATATATATCTTTGCTTTTCTTATATACTTGACATATAAATATAAACATATATCAGCTGAAACATTTAACAATTTTTATTAGCAGATGTTAGTTGTAGGAAGAGGTTTTATTGTGACATATTCATATATATATGATGTATTTCCATCCAACAGACTCCTCTCTCCCTCTTCCTTGCCCTTTCCTTGCTTCATATTCAGCCTCTCCATTGGACTTTCCAGATCCTACTTTTATCTGCCCTTGAATAGACTTTCTTTTTACTCTATCTTTTTACCATACATTAATTGCAAAAAGGAGTTTCACCACGATAATTCATAAATAACTAAATTATAACTTACTCGTATATATTTGGACATTCCATCTTCAAATTACAGTCATTATTTACAATGATGTTATTTAATGGATATCCAAAGTAAGTTATTCAAGTAAATAATAATATATGACTCCAGTTGAATTGAAAAAAATCAGTTTTTCTGTGTATTTAATTCCTGGATTCATTTTGGTAAATGTTTCCATAATTTTATGCATGTCTATTTCAGTGTGCTTTTATATGACTTTCGGTGGCTCTATACTCTGTGGTTTCAGAAATATTTGAAAGTGATTTTAAAAGCACATCTTAACCCTTAATGGTTGATCGAAATGTGGAGATAAATGGAGGTATGGTTCTGCTTAGAACTCCTGAGAAGAAAGGGACATTGAAGTTGGTTCTCTCTCCCTCCTCTTTCTCTCTCTCTCTCTCTCTCTCTCTCTCTCACATACACACACACACACACACACACACACACACACACACATGAAATTTTTTCTTAGCAACTGTGATGAGAAATACTTTCTTTTCGCAAAAAAGACCATCTTGCATTACTATGTACATACTCTTTTTTTTATTTTCTACATTTTTATGCATCAACTTTTTTAATGGGGGGGGGGTTCCGGTTGTGGAGCCTGAACTCTGGGCCTGGGCGCTGTCCCTCAGCTCTTCAGCTCAAGGCTAGCACTCTACCACTTGAGCCCCAGCACTGCTTCCGGCTTTTTTCTTTTTGCTTATGTGGTGCTAAGGAATCGAACCCAGGGCCTCATGCATGCAAGGCAAGCGCTCTACCACTGCGCCACCTTCCCAGCCCCTGTACCAACTTTTATAAATACCAGTTTATATGGCTTTTTCCTAGTCTTCTTATGTCATCTTTATTGCATTATTTCATAGATTTGGTTAAGAAGTCATTAAAATTATCAGACATTTAAGACTTTCCATGAGAAAACCAACCAATTACAATTTAATTTAGAGGGCACAATGTAAGTCTTCTGCACATCAAGAAACTGTGGATCCTAGTCAAACTATATAAAATCCTAGAAGCACAGTCAATTTCTTGTTACTCAAAAGCCCATATTAAATGTTATTTCATTATTTTACTTCAAAAGTAAAATTTGAATCTTAGAAGAATGCTGGAGTATAAGATTACAATAATTTTGGCATGCATGACAATAATGGAACCAATATAAATTCAATCTGACATTTTTACCTATCCTCATTTCCTTATTAGTCTAAATAAAAGGCCAAGTAGAATATATTATTAAGAAATTGTCAATTTGGGGAGAAAATAGCTCTTCATTACCAAAGTAAAATTTATCCAATTTAAGTATTGCTACTTCATTTCAAATTAAATACCTACATAGAATTCCAGTAACTTTTTATCATTTGCATTTATTGTCATATGTCTGAAGTCATTAGATGAATCTAAGTCTTTTTCTCTTCTTTTTTTTTCCTATCTAAATGAGTAGCTCATGGTCTTTTGAATGACATTGATCAATAAGGTAATTGAAAATCTCCTGGCCAGAAGGAATTTTCAGTTTCAAGGATGTTATGGGTGAAAGATGACCAGAGGTTTCCATGACATTAAGGCCAAAGGTTAAATGAACATTTAGGGTTTTCAGTGATCTGTGAACAACACCAGGTCTTCTTTAACTATGCATTATAAATCCTCAATAAACCTTTCATATGAGTATACTGTGACATTTATTGTTAACAAAAGATATAGATACAGATCGTGTTCTGTTTGCTTCATCAATAGAATTTTCATTACAGTTTTACATACTCTGAGGAAAAGGTGCAGCAGACAAAAAAAAAAAAGAACAGTGTTAAGGAACTGAAGAAAATACATTCTAAAGGTGTAGTTTGAGATATGTGCATTGAAATGTCACTAGCATAAATATCATTAAACATAGCTCCTTTAATTTCCATGATCATTTTCACCTTATGTAAAAGTTTCAAGTAAAAATAATCCTAGAAAATGAGTGTTAGGGCAAAAAAATCTAACAACAAAAACATTACTGTAAGCAGAATAGCATTTGTTTCTCAGATTATTACACATATCTTCATTCTACAATTGATTTTCAATTATCTCGAAATTGCCTTAGAGTATAAGGAATGTATGTCCAAAATGAAGATTATATGGCTGACATACTGCTACATCATTAATTAAAAAATCAAAACTATAAGTAAATGCTGAAGTCATAACCCAATTTGTCAATTTACTAGTTAAAAATTATCATATAATTTGGTATGCACATGATGCCCACAGGTTTATTTTTACTGTTGAAATTCATACTATAACCTCCATTCAATGTTTCTGAGAAAGCATGTTTACTTTTCAATTATTTACTTAGGCAAAAATCAACGTAGAAATATACTAGTTACTATTCAAGTTATTGTAACAAAATGTTGAGGGCTATTTTAGTCCTCAGAAATCTTTTTTTTTGGGGGGGGGTCCAGTCGTGGGCCCTGAACTCTGGGCCTGGGCATGTCCCTCAGCTCTTCAGCTCAAGGCTAGCTCTCTACCACTTGAGCCACAGCGCCACTTCCAGCTTTTTTCTTATGTGGTGCTGAGGAATCGAATCCAGGGACTCATGCATGCAAGGCAAGTGCTTTACCACTGAGCCACCTTCCCAGCCCATCCTCAGAAATCTTAAACTTGGTCAGTTCTTTTAACTGTGTCCAGGAAAGGAATGCCAGAATAACTAACTCCAAGATGTTATCAAATGTCATAACGTTAAAAAGACAACAACTTTCCTCTTGCGAGGGGTGGGGGGACGTGGGGGGTGGGGGGTGGGGGGAGAAGGCAGGAGGGGGGTGCCAGCCAAGCCTATAATCCTAACTTCTCAGAGCACAGGGACAACTCCCAGGCCCAGAGTTTAAGCCCCATGACCCAAAAAAACAAACAAACAAAAAAAAACAAACTTTCCTCTTGATCTAATCAGGCATGATTGTGACTATCCACCAGTCTCATGAAACTTTTGAATGACATGGAGATTTTTAATCTAATTCACCTATTTTGTTGTCTACATTATCTTATACATAATTTTTTGTTAATAATTAATATATTTAAATAATATAATTAAACTATATTATCCATTATGTTATCCAATACATTATGAATTTATAAGAAAGAGTGTAAGCGTACGGGGTGCATGGATAAGAAATAGTAATTGAGGGGCTGGGAAGGTGGCTCAGTGGTAGAGTGCTTGCCTTGCATGCATGAGGCCCTGGGTTCGATTCCTCAGTACCATATAAGCAGAAAAAAAAAAAGCCGGAAGTGGTGCTATGGCTCAAGTGGTAGCGTGCTAGCCTTGAGCTGAAGAGCTGAGGGACAGCACCCAGGCCCAGAGTGCAGGCCCCAGGACCGGACCCAAAAAAAAAAAAAAAAGAAATAGTAATTGAGAAAATGAATATGATAAAGTATGTTATGTGAAAGTAGGGAAATATCACATTGTACAATTATTATGCACTAATGTAAAAACACATTTATGGTCTGGTTTCATGAAAGTTCTAAAAGAATTTAGATTATAGCCTACATCTTAAACATCTTGAAACATTTTATAGTAATGTGTAATAAAACTTAGTCCTTGGACCAAATAACTTACTGTCCAAGTATACATATCTAGACATTTTTGCTCAGATAAAGTATGAGAATCTTAATACGGTTATTCATTATAATTTATTCTGTTAAAGCAATACAAAGGAATAAATAAACACAAATCTTGCCCAAGAAGAGGGAAATTTCTCATTATTGTTACAACCAGTTGTATCTGCAGCCAGTGTTTGTTTCTCTATTTGTATTCCTCACCCATTGCTGAATCAGGCCATGTTGTGTGCAGAAACTTGAAAATGCTGCTTTGCTATTCATTTTAAATACCCTCTTAACCTACATGAAAACTTGAATTGTATGAAAGATATTGAAATTTTACCAGTAAAGAAGGGAACCATAGAGAATATAAATCAGTGCTTTTGTATCTCAGAAGACATCATGAAGGGGGAAATAATAAAAACTCACAAGTAAGAAAAACAAAATGAAGAATTTTCATTTAACACATCCAGTAAGAGGGAATAAATCCATGTTCAGAGATTCATAAGATATATAAATCCCTCTAGTTATCAACTGTACAAAAAACACTGCTAGAAAAAATTATCCTTTTCAGATTTTACTAAATATGTATCTCTGTTATGATTTAAAGTACATATGCACAAGTAAAGAAGTGATCATTTAACTACTCATCAGTACTTACAAAGCTACTTAATGTAACTTAGTAAATGTATAATTACAGAATTAGGCATGTCACAATGTGATTAGCTAACCACAAATTCATCTATTTTACTAATAATGTTAAAGATGATAGTGCTTTCTCCTCAGGTAAAATAAAAGTATTGGTATTTGCAAGAAGCAGTCATATTATAGCTTGAAATTTAATAAAACTGGATAGATTGCACTTATAATCACAGCAAGTACCATGTCAGCTTCTTTAAAATAATATCCTATGATATATTGAAAATAAAAATTTCAACCCATTGTAACAATGAGATGTACAAGACACTATGTTGAAAATGAATTTTACAACTTTGGGTGGGGAAGGAGAAATTGGGAAGGTAGGGAGGGGAGGGATAATAGGGGAAAAACAAAGGAGGGGGTAACAATTCTCAATAGGAAATATACTCATTACCTTACTCATGTAACTGTAACCCCTTTGTACAGTATCTTTACAATAAAAATATTTTTAAAAAGCATCAAAAATGACAAAAAAGAAAATGAAAATTTCTTTTTAACGCTCTTTTTAAAAAACATATTGGTAAATTTTTAATGGTATTGGTAAATATTGGAAAGATAAGTATTGGTATTCCAATATTTAAATCAGAGGCAGTGAGAAATTACTAAAAGTTTTACTTTACCTAGAGTCAAATACAAATGAAAAACGTGAATTTAAATGATTAAACAAATTAAAACTTCCACATGTGTATATCTTGAAATTAAAAAAAAATCTTTTTTCATGAGACAATCAGAAATGAAAGTATCTCACCATCAGTAACCTCCAGTTGAGCTTTTGCTAAAATGCTCCCAGCCACAGTTAGGGCCTGGCAGATGTAGTACCCCGCGTCCGAGCGCTGGATGTTGGTAATGGTGAGATCTCCAGTTGGCGACACCGAACATCTACTATTGGGCTGCTGGGGCTGGTTTGGAAAAAGTAGGTTCTGTGGAGACCAACACAACTTCGTCAAGATTCTTTTCCCACGTGGAAGGAAAATCACGATAACAACAGTCATTAAAATTACAGGAGTATGGTTGGAAAAATAAAACATACAGATTTAAAAATATATAGTAATTAAATGATTGTAGGTTACATAGTGGGCTGGACTGGGAAAATGTTTCCAGATTGTAGTTTGGACTTTACCAGGTCAGCATAATTAGCTTAAGGAAGGATCCTCTGTGTTTTTTGTTTTTATTTTTATTTTTTTGTTTTTATTTTTAATCCTGAATCTTTTTTAATTTTAATTTTTTGATTACTTTAAAATACTCATAGATTTTCTTTGAGTGCTCCGTAAATTTCCAAACCTTTATCCAGTATATATTGATCAAATCAGGGTGATTAATCTTTATCTCAGCCATTTAGTCCCTGACTTTCTTCTACTTAATATCATTGAAACATTATTTTCAATCTGTAAAACAAGTAGGATAATCTTCACGTAACTTGACTCCTAAGACACTGAGGCTCTAATCTACAGAGTAACTGTATATGTGATTAATAATCTGTACACTAATAAAAAATAAAATATAATTGCTGCTTGATTATGTTTAATACTATTGGGACAACTGAATGTACCCTAAAGTCATTAAAAAAACACACCTCTCAGACTGACACAGACAAATCTTCTGTTATAAGGTTGAACAAATCACAGCAGCTTCCAAAAGAGCTATGACCAGTCCATGCAAGGTTAAGCCAGTCTTTGAAAACCAAAATATGGTATGGAAGTGCTCTGAATGTGTGTATGTTACCTCCAAGAACATAATAGTATTATTTTATTTTCAAAATAAAATTTAATATTTTATACATCTCATTAAAGCCCACCATAGATCTTCTACAGCCTGATCACAAAATTTAAAGTTCTTCTGTAACAGCAGTAACATTTATTTGAAAGACCTATGTTGCTTTGCTGTTGTTCAATTAAGCAAAGCACTTGGGTATCATAAATCATATTGAGATATGTGTCCAAGTTGGATTATAAATAAGGACATATCAATTTTTATGTTGTATTTACTTACAAAAAAGAACATGATAACCCTCTGGGATCGGTTTCTCGATATAGTAATTAATTTTCCAGGTTTGTAATTAAACAGTTTCAATAAGTTACAATCAGAAGGTAATAACATTCAATTAAAGGCACAAGACACATTTTCACCTTAAAATGTTTTTTACCCTTGAAGTAATACCAATGGAAGAGGATAAAATAGGGTATTAGCACTTTTCAATTACACTAAATGACTTTAATCCTGCAAATGATGTCTTACTTTAATTAGAAGCTCTTCTCTTTATTGCGACATGATGGATGTCCACTTTATTAGATTCAAGTGTGACACTATAAGCCCACTTTACATAAACATTACCATGTTATTAAACTCCTTCTAAAAGGAGAATTGTTTGTTGCTAACACATCAAGAATGTAATTCAAAATGCTATCACCTTCCACTCAAATTTGTATTCCTCAATATGGCTAGAAATTTTCATAAATATGAAAGATAATTTGATAACGAAATAAACCTCCTGTGTAATCCAAATATATTGCAGAAATAAACCATCTAAAAGAGAAGAGGCTACATTTCAAAGCCCCTTAAAAGTGATACTATTTCTCCAACTGTGCACTTTCCCGCAATTAGCCATTAGAAAACCAATTTACATAGCACTAATCCATCAGATGGTCTAATTCCCTCTGGATGTCTTCCTCCATAGTGGAATATCAGTCCACCTTCTAAATGATTCGTTGACATGGAGAATGACATTTGATTGAGCTTAACAGATCATTTTTATTCCTTGCTTGCATGACACAGGCAAAAGAAGATGAGTTATAAGCAAAAGTCAGGAGCTCTTCAGAGTTGTTCTTGTATTGAAATGCCAGGATACCCTATTAGTACTAATTGGCATTATCAGCACATATTGAAGAAGATGGACCATTAAGCCCAACATCAACCTTTTCTACTGATGGATAGTCACATTTGTCCATAAAAATTGGGTACTAGGGACAGTGAGACTAATTTATTTTCCTTAATATCCCAATTCATGATTTCAAAGTTTACAACTGGCTTAAGCATTTCTTTTTGCTTTAAATTTCCCTCTGTCTATTCTGTCTGTATCTCTATCTCTTTCTCTGATAGGTGGGAGGTGATTAGAAAAAATAAGACTAGATCTAATATTATAAGCATATCAACACACCTATCCAGAAATTTTGTGTACCCCCTAGAATTAATTAATGAAATTACCTTGAACTTTGACAAACAGAAGAAATAAGAATGCTTAAATTGTTTTGGTAATTATCTTTTCTGAAACATTAAAATTTGTGTTAAACACTGTATATTTATTGGATGAGAGGGTGATACACATTTTATCAAGCATAAAGCTTTTTGTTAGGGGATATATTTTCATATGAAATTGTTTTCTTATATCCATAATAAAGAAGACATTACAAGGGATATGACTCAAAACATAAATCTGAAATTAAATTCTCAGGAGTCAAATTTCTTTATGTCATTATATTTACTGATAGTAAATAATGACATTTTGTATGACTTTTGTAATGCATAATAAAGTTTCACATATATACTAACTTATTCATATCATATTCATATCTTAGGAAAATAAAATATTTATACTTATTAGAGGTGGGGATTGTCTAGTCCTTGGGTCATATAAAGGCTATTAAAATCATTTGCTACACACCAGATAAGTATGTTTGCTTCTCAAATGGTTCTTGTCAGCTGCCTAAAGCCTGTCTGTCTATATTGATTTTTGTTAAATGACCCACGAGTGATTTCTAAGTTAAATAATCCTCCAAAATATCGACATTCAAAGGGAAAAATGACTTTGAATTTCCCACTTTTTAGAATGTGAGTATGTGCATTTAACTATTTCATATTTCTTTATATTCACGTTAATGTTTGGGAGAATTTCATCTAAAAGAAAAATTTAAGAGTCAAGGAACTAAGAATAGAAATCTAAAAGTACTGAATGATAGAAAGAATGTAACTTTTACAGTTGACCACAAACAATTTGGATGTAAGTTGGGGCCTTCATTTGAACATATCTTCCCCTCCCTGACTATATATTTCACAATGTGAATCAAAAGTAAGGAAGGTCATTTGTCCAGCCCAACTGAGTCACGGAAATGGCTAGCTTTGTCAAAGTACTGAAACAGCATGTTTGAAGAGAAATTCTAAAAAGTACTGTAGTCAGATAGACATATACAAATTTTGGACAAGTTCTCTTAATATACCTTAACATTTGCTTCTCCTGGAAAACTTTTCAAGATTCTTGAGCCTTTTAGTATTAATACCTAATTTTTCCCTAAGTATTAGTAACTGGTTTTTCTCTAAGTAATCCATTCAGAACTTGGATTAAAAACCATGGTGAGAAAGAGTAAAGTCTCCCTTTGAGAACTGTATGCTCTTTGGGATGGGCCTAAGATTCTAGAATCAGTATGCACAAAGTTCCCTCAGGAAATACACAGTTTAATTTTAGGCAAGGTCTCAATTTTTATTAAGTTTAGGCTGGAAATTTCACTCACTGCCTGTTAGCCTAGAGGCTAATCACTTGCTCAAATCTGGATCAAGTTCTATGTGACAAGATTATTATCCAATCTGAGTTTTGGGGTAGATTATGAGAGAGCATCTGGTCAAAAAGAACATAACAAAAACAAGCCAGGTATTGGTTTGTTATAGTATGTAATACATTATTTATCAAAATGAGACAATGAAAATATTTCTTCTATTTTAAAATGGAAACAAAGTGACTTACAAAGTGACTTTACAAAGTCACTTACTTATACTGTGTAAAACAACAGACAAAAATTATGTTTTACTCCAAGTAATAGTATACATATTTTTTGACCAGTTCTCTTGAGTCAGAGACCATTCTAAGTATTTTATAGATACTAACTTATTTAATCATTCCATCTAACTCAGTACAAGAACAAAAAATTCTTTGCCTTCAAAAACAGCAAATACCTATGAATATTTTCACTGGACTTTTAAATATAACTTTGTTATACTGTTTCATTTCTATTACTATTATGCAGAATGTTTAAAAACTAACTGTGGCACACAAAGGAGGCTGTAAATATCTGATTTCTAAAAAATAGCATGTATCTTTGCTAGAAATAAAATAAATTCAATATTTATAGCAACAGAAGCAAGGCAAGTTATGAGGGTCACCAGAGACTGGGGAAGTTCAGATATGTCAGAAAAGCAGTCAAGCCTCACACTCACCTGGCTGCCTTCTTTCTGCCAAAAAACAGCTGGCTGTGGGTTTCCTTTAGTTTCACAGGGAAATGTCACTGTTCGACCTTGAGCAACAATCTGATCTCTTGGCCTAACCACAAACTGTGGAGGAGCTATAATTTAAAAAGAAAGATAATATGTAAATATCAACCACTGACAACAAAAAGAGAAGTCCACAAGTCCACTAGTAGGTGGATTGTTTGGTGTCAGAGAGTGACTGTAATTTTTACTTACTTTTATCTATATTTTAAAACACAAAAAGAAAGGAGCAAGAACCCTCTATTATGTGTGAGGAAAGAAGTAAAATGATTAACAGGCACACTTTAAGCATTGAATATTATAAGCCTGTGCTGTATATAGTTACATAGGAAAATAGCTTTCTTAAAACTCTAACATTTTTAAGGAAAAAAATAATGTCCTGATTTGCTTCTGCTTCTTTTTTTAACAGAAAAAGCCAGAAAACAATCACAAAATCCAATATTTCCTTCTCTAAAATTAATCTATTTGCAAATATAAATTTTTTCTTACAATATGTACAAAACATTGTTTCACGTACAAGAATAATAGAAGGCAACAACTATGATCCCTACTTTTAAAATGAGAATATTATAGAATTGAAGAGGTGAAGAGTTAAAGATCCTAAAGATTGGGCTTGGAAGGTGGCTCAGTGGTAGAGTGGTTGTCTTGCATGCATGAGGCAGTGGGTTCGATTCCTCAGCACCACATAAGCAAAAAAGAAAAAAACTGGAAGTGGCGCTGTGGCTTAAGTGGTAGAACACTAGCTTTGAGCTGAAGAGCTGAGGGACAGCGCCCAGGCCCAGAGTTCAGGCCCCAGGACCGTACCAAACAATAAAAAACAAACAAACAAACAAACAAAAAATACCCTAAAGATTAATTTCGAAGTATTTATAATGTGTAAATTCAATATAAAGGTAATTATCAATATAAATAAATGTATTAAAATAATTCAGTTAACTTGGTTAACTTTGTTTAGCTAAGTAAGTAAAAACTAGGGGAAAATAATTACTATTTTTCCCTCCTAGATATTCAAGATAAAGATGAAAACCTCTGCGAGTCATCAAGAAGTTCACATATAATAAAAAGTAACTCAAGCCGGGCACTGGTGGCTCACGCCTGTAATCCTAGCTACTCAGGAGGCTGAGATCTGAGGATCGCAGTTCAAAGCCAGCCCTGGCAGGAGAGACCGTGAGACTCCTATCTCCAATAAACCACCAGAAAACCGGAAGTGGCGCTGTAGCTCAAGTGGTAGAGCGCTCGCCTTGAGCTGAAGAGCTGAGGGACAGCGCCCAGGCCCAGAGTTCAAGCCCCGACAAAAAAGAAAAAAAAAAGTAACACAATATGATGACAAGGATAACAAGAGAATCAAGACTATACCAACAATTACCTGTCATATGGTAAGTGCAATATCAGAGGTATACTCAGACCACTCAAGTTACAGACCATATGCTAAGTATGAGAAGACTTAGGGGAGAATGAGCCCCTTGTGTTGTAGGAGCAGTGAAAGGATTGTGTAGAAATTGGACATTAAGGGAGCTCTTGGGAAAAATCAACATTTGATCGATAAGAGGAACTGGATCACATCCCAGGTTGGGTGTCCACTGAGTAACATCAAAGGACCAAGAACGTATCTAGCAAGACAATGTGTAGGCTGAAGCCAATGAAGGATCTACATTATACAAACATTAGGGCAACAAAGAAGGGCTAATAAGTCATTCTAAGGATTTTATTCTGACCTTTTCTATGCTGAGGAATGATAGATGCAAAGCAAACATTTTGAAAGTCTTAACCCTCTAATGAATATTGCATAGATGGGGTTAGCTGTGTTTAGTCAGTAAAGTCAGAAGTTGCTTTTGAAAAATAGGAAAATAGAGTTGGTGAAGATAATGAGATCAAGACATGAGGAAATCTAGTGAAAAGAAAAAGACAAAAGAGAAGAGAGAAGAAAAAGGAAGAAGCAAAAGCAAGAAATGAAAAGAAAAAAAAAGATGTAAAAATCCTGCAAAGCTTCAGATTTACAACGGAGCCAAATTATAGAGATGAGAAAATGAACATTAGGAGAGAGTGTTACTGCAGTTTTTCATAAGGACATCTTCATTTCAAACTCACTTCCATTTTAGGGAAAACATTATGTTTCTCACATAACTTTCCCAATCATCTGTTTCTAATTTTAATACTTGTTTATCCTAGAAAATGAAGGCTAAGGAAACAGCTCAAAACCAACTTTAATTTGTAGAACCTATTGTACATGGAAACAATCCCAAAATTTGAACTCTGAAGAAGTAACAACATGCAATATCCAGTAAAGGCCTTCACCTGGAATTTCTTTAGTCTTATACAGTATATTCCTATAGATCCTAAAATGGAGTAAATGCATAGTAACCCCAATTATTATTTTTCCTAACAAAAATACCCTCGATAAAAATGAATCACTAAAACTCACATTGAGGGGCTGGGGAGGTGGCTCAGTGGTAGAGTGCTTGTCTTGCATGCATGAGGCCCTGGGTTTGATTCCTCAGCACCACATAAGCAAAAAGAAAAAAGCCGGAAGTGGCGCTGTGGCTCAAGTGGTAGAGCGCTAGCCTTTAGCTGAAGAGCTGAGGGAAGGCACCTAGGCCCAGAGTTCAGGCCCCACAACCGGACCCAAAGGGAAAAAAAAAAAAAGAAAAAAAAAAGAATAAAATTCACATTGATTTTTTTGTTTTTTTTTTTTTTTTGGTTAGTCGTGGGGCTTGAACTCTGGGCCTGGGCAGTGTCCCTCAGCTCTTCAGCTCAAGGCGAGCACTCCATCACTTGAGCTACAGGGGAACTTCCTACATTGATATTTTTTGTGTGTTGTATTATATTGCCTTTTAATTCAATATATCTAACATGTATCTCAGGGACACAAACAGTAAATCCACTAAATGAATTTTTTTCCATCACTGTAGATAATAGAAAACTCATTCTAACAGTGTACAGAATCTAGACCTATAAATCTGTCTAAACAGAGTATGGGTTTTTGTTTCTCTGCCTTTTTTAGGAGATTCTATGATTCTTATAACCTTTTATGTATTACTACACAATTGTACTAGATGAGTAGATACATTAATTTTGTCCTCTATTTCCTAATAGAAACGATAGCTTAAACAATATTATATAAACATTTTAGGAAAAAAATCTTAAAATCTATCAGGAGACAAGAATCTGGTATGCAAATTGATATAGAGACTGTTAATTTATGCTAAAAGGAGGAGTTGATTTTTTTATTCAAAGCTACTAAAATCTGTTCAAGGATTTTTTTTCAAGAAGGGTATAATCAAATTTTTGTTTCAGAGAAATGCTCTGGAAGCAACAGGGATGAAAATGGACAAGGTTTAAAGCAAAGGGCTGTAAAACCTGAGCAAAATTGAGCTGTGAACTGTGATGTATAGCAAGAAAGAATTTCATTAGAAATCTTAAATAATAAAGATATATCACAAAATAATATTGATATACTAAAAAAAAGTCCAGGAAATTGTAATTTCTTGGATGTTTATGCAGTCTTACATTTTTAATGGCCAGTCACAAAAATGCATCAGCATTCATGATATTCATTTTTAAAAGTTCCTTTTTTTGAGATGAAACTAAGTGAAATGAACCCCAATGATAAGGACACAGTGGTTTTTTTCTTTCTTGTTATTGTTTCTAATGTATTTATAAGGTACCACCTGATTCTTTTGTTGCTCTGTATGTCCCTCCTCCATGGTATAACCCATGTTTTCACTGTATTTGATGTTGGTATAATTTGGGGAGTGGAAAGGAATAAACAAATTGTTTAAATAGAGATAGAGGTTGGCCCATTGCATCAATGAGATATACAAGATGCTATGTCAAAAAAAAGAACTTTACAATTTAGGAGGTGGGGGGGGTGTAATTGTGGCGATGGGAGGGAAGGGATGGTAGGAGAAAAACGAGGTGGCAACAATGCTTGATGAGAAATGTACTCATTACCTTGTTCATGTGATTGTAACCCCTCTGCACAGTATTTTCACTATAAAAAACTTATTTTCAAAAAGTACCTTTCTTTGTGATAGTTACTTACATTGTGCCTTTATTCTAAATAAGTATAATTACTCTATACTTCTACTTCATATTCTTATTACCAGAACTTAAGCCTGTTGTATCTCAGTGTAACTGAAATTATCTTCACATTTTTAAAATTGAAAGACAGAAAATGGGGCTGGGAGGGACTAACATTGTTGAAGCACTTGATGAAGCAAAATATACAAAGAACACCCAAATCTCCAAAAAAGTCTGTTATAAGGTTAACTGAATTCAGTCCCACAAAACAAATTGCAACAATCATTTTTGCTTTAGTAGACAATCATTCCCTGGACAAGATCTATATTGCAATCTTCTGCAAAGGAAGATCAGTTGGAGGAATGTATTTGGAGGATTTTAAAATAAAAAATAGCACCAATATTTCTTCTGATAGCACTCTATAGTTTTCAATATTTCTGTCAGGCAACAGTGAAAACTGTTTGAGCAGACAGCTTTTGGCTTATGGTTTCAATGGGAGAGAGCAGAGAGATGTGGTATTTTATCAACACAGCACAAAGGCACACAGAGAGCTATGCATACAACTGATTTCCTATGATGTCTTTTGTTAAATACATACATACATACACACACACACACACATAAAACACAAGTAGGTTCTTAAGATAACAATTCAAAACACACGTTTAAACCCAATGTGAACTAAAGAGATCGAATTATACATTCCAGATGAATATTCTAGTTATAGAAGTAGCATTTCCTCTATATATACTTGTAAAAGAGAAAACTGTAAAGTACCTCTTTATCTCCTCTCTAAAACCTGAAAACACTAGATAAAAGTTCTTCTCACTCATAGGTAATAACCTACTTGCTTAATCTGTCAAGTGTTTATACCTTATTGCTTCAGCTGTAAGAAGAAATGAGATAAAACAAACAGGGAGGCACAATTTGGTGTTTAATCAACACTTACAAGTTAAAATACAATATCTCTGTAAGAAAGGTACACTGCATGATTTCCAGAGAAGTAGACCCGAATATAAAAAGGTCAATTAAGAATAGAGGTCTAGGATAGTTC